CCGATCTGAGCCACTCCCCGCCGGCCTCCGCGGCCGATTCTGTCGGGTGCCCGCGCGCGCCCCCGCGCGCGCACGGCCTGGGCGTTGCCTCCTCCCGGCGGCGGGCGTCTGGCGGCGAGGGCGCGGCGAAGAGCCTCTCGAGCAGGGCAGCCCGCAAGGCCGCGCGGCCCCGGGCCCGGAGGGAAGCACGGCGCCGCGGCCGGAGGCCCCGTCGCTTGGAGGCCGCGGCTGAGGAGCCCTGCTCGGCTCCAGCGATGCGGCAGCCGCCGAAGTTTCGACAAGAAGAAGAAGACGAAGACGAATCAGGATAATAGTGAGAATGCCAGTGCTCTAACAATAGTAGTAATCATGTGAATAGTACTACTAAGAATAGTGCAATCACTACAACTAATACTAGTCATCATAGTACCATTAATAAAACTAGTAGTAATAGTAGTAGTGATGATGTTAATATTCACAACGATGATACTCATGAGAACAATGCCAACTTTTTTTCGAATAGAAATAACCCCGTGACCCACTTGCGACCAACCCGCGACCCAAACCACGTTCAGGGTGCAAACCACATTTTTCGGCGCCTGCGGCGGGCATCTTTTGCAGTCGTTTCAAATGGAGAGCCCGCGGCCCACCCGCGACCACGTTCAGGGTACAAACTAATTTTTTCGGCGCCTGCGGCGGGCATCTTTTGCATTCGTTCCCAGTGGAGAACCCGCGGCCCACCCGCGACCCAAACCACGTTCAGTGTACAAATCATTTTTTTTGGCGCCTGCGGCGGGCTGCTTTTGCATTGCATTCCTTCCAGGTGGAGGTGGAGAGCCCGCGACCCACCCGCGACCCAAACCACGTTCACTGAACAAACCAATGCCGCACAAGCGCGGCGGCGGATTTTTGCATACCGTCTCAGCCCGCAAAGACCTCTTCAAGCCCCGCGCACCCACACCAGCCCGTCCAGCAACTTTGCCCTGGCGAGTTGCCTTGATCAGAGAAGTCGGGGAGCATAAAGTGGAACAAAGGATTGCGTTGCCGATATCTTGGGAAAGGAGGGGGAGGCAGGAGGAGTAAACAGGGGACAAGGAGGACGCGGAAGAAGAGAGGATGTAAGGAGAATGTGGAGAAAGAGGAGGAGCAGGAGGACTAGGAAGGGGAGGAGGGGGAGGAGGGGGAGGAGGAGGACGAGGAGGGGGAGGAGGGGGAGCAGGGGGAGGGGGATTAGGGGGGAGGAGGATGATGATGGACGACAATGGGAGGACGATGATGGAGGCCGATGAAGGGAGGACGACAATGGGAGGACGATGATGAAAGGACGAGGTGGGGAAAGGGAGGACGAGGGAGAAGAGGAGGAGGAGGAGAACGAGGTGGAGGAGGAGGATGAGGATGACGATGAGGACGAGGACGAGGACGAGGAAGAGGAGGAGGAGGAGGAGGAGGAGGAGGAGGAGGACGAGGAGGAGAGCGCCATCGACAGGGAAGGTGGGGGCCACGAGGTCCGCCGGCTCGACGACGCCGGCGTCGCCCGCGCCCGCGCCCTCACTCTTATCCGCAATTGCGGGGTGCTACGTAGTAGTGATGATGTTTAACAACGATGATACTCATGAGAACATTGCTAACTTTTTTCGAATAGTAACAACAGCGCTTGGCATCGTTCGGGCGTGTGCAGTTTTTCTCGGCGAGGACCATCGAGGAGCATCCTGGATCCTCGTGGAGACCGTAGAGAGACGGCGAAGTTCGGGCGGGTCGCTTTTCAAGTCAAGCCTCGCGGGCAAATCCGGTGAAGCCGAGCTCCCTGGCGAGGGCCGTCGCCTCCCTCTTTCGCCGCTTCGTGCGCGTAGCAAACTGCTCCAGCTGCTTCCGCAAACCCTCTGGCGGCCCTGCCAGGAAGAACTCGATGCGCGGCGCCCGCATGAGCAGGAGGTCCTCGTGGCGCTTGGCGCGTGAGAGCAGCGCGTAGAGCTCCAGCCACCAGTCGCCGCCCGCTCGTCGTCGACCGTCGCCAAGCCCTCAGCCCCCCATCCTGAGGAAAATGCCCGTCGACCCAGGGCACGTCCCACGACGGTCCGCGGCGCCGTCTGTGCGGCCCCAGTCTTCCATCTTCCTGCCCGCGTTTCCTCCTCCTCCTCCTCCTCCTGCTCCTCCTCCTCCTTCTCCTCCTCCTCCTCCTCCACACACCCGTTTCCCTGAGGTCTCTCGACCCCGCCCGCTCCGCCGCTGGACGAGTCCTCTGAGAGGTAGCTGGAGGAGCACGAAGAGGAGGAGGAGGAGGAGGAGGAGGAGGAGGAGGAGGAGGAGGAGGAGGAGGAGGAGGAGGAGGAGGAGGGGGGGGAGGAGGAGGCGCGCCAAGACGGCCTAGGCAGCCCCGCCGTTTTGTCGGGGGCCCCAGGCCATCGATCACTTCCGCATCAGCATGCCCCCCACCCCAAAGTTCCAGAGAGAGAGAGAGAGAGCAGGGCGAGCAGGGCGCGAGCAGCCCGGGCGCGCCCTCGGAGCCCTGGGCGAACTGAGGACTCAGCCGCCGGCGACCATCGGGCGGGATGGCTCGGGGTCGCGCGGGGCAGCGAGTCTTTCACTCCTCAACCCTCTCCTCCAGGAGTGCCTTCGGAACCCATGCGTGTTTGTCGCGGTTTATGCGAGTCTGGGGCGGTGGCGGCATCTCGTCGCCCTCGGCTGGATTCCCTCCGTAGCCTGGCTTGGAACTCTCTCCAGGGGGGTCGCGGGGGTGGGGGCGGGGCGATTTGGGCGATGGCGGCGATGAGATGGGGGGGGGGCAGGCGGGCGATGGGAGGGCAAACGGGCCCCACATATAAACGGTCGAAGGCGCACGGGAGCGGGGCGCGGGCCTTCGGGCAGATGAGAGCGAGCGCCGACGCTCGGCTCAAGGCGCGCCCGAAGCGCGCAGCCATTAACCGTGCAGCCCTACGCCCTACAAAGAACCTCATGGTGCGCGTTTCCTGGGGCCCCGGATTCTCGGGTCCCCCCCCCCTTCCCGCCCTTTCCTATCTTCGGTCATCATGGTCAGCGGCCGCTTTCCCTGTACCCCCTGCCCCGCGGCCGCGTGGCCCGAAATGCCGACAGACCAGCAGCGAACCGATTTAAACGCAGAGGCGTTCCTTCGAGTGTCCTCGTCTCGTCGAGGGCGCGCGAAGCCAGCGGGGCATGGAAGGGTTGGAATGAGGCAGCAGCGGGCAGGCATGTGGCTGATTAGGCCACCCCACATTGCCTCAGACGGTCATGAGTGCGCGGAGTGGCGCCGCAGACCTGCGCTGCGCAGCGCGCGATGAACGCGTGCGCGCCCTGCCCGTCCCCGAACCTCCAGTCAGGGGCGGGCTCGGACAGTTTTCGAAACTTCGAGGAATGGCAAGCAGTCTCTTGTGAGGGGCTCAGTTTGGCCCCTGTGGTGGGCCCCCCAAAACCGACGCAGCATACAGTCGGGGCGCTGAAGAAGGAACCCTTTTCGTTGGGGAGGGGCTCCGTGTTCCTTGATTGCTTCACAGTTTGCCTTGGGTTTTCTTTTGGGTTTCGATGGGAAGTCGAAGCTCAACTTGTGGATGAAAGGGGCCTCGTTCCTTATTTAGGGCTCCTTGGGTCAACGCCCCGACTGTATGCGCAGATCGGCACCGGTTTTGCGCCAGTTTCGTGTCGGCCATGGGGGGTGCACATTGGCCCCTTCCGGGGCCTCCGCAGGGCCTTTCCCTGCGCTCCCTGGCCTATGGTGCCCTGGGGGGGGCCCTCCTGCGGAGTGGGGTTCGCCTCGAGCCCTTTCGGCCCTGAAGCCCTGGGGTCATATGTTCCCGCGACGTCCCGTGAGACTTAATGGGGCGCTCTCTCTCTCTCTCTCTCTCTCTCTTTCTCTCTCTATTTTTATATACATATATGTATATATTAAATATATAATATACAGATAGACATGTATGCGCGTGTATCCCCCCTCCTCGTCATCGGTGTGATCGCACCTTCTGTTTCTCCTCCCACTTCTCTACCTCTCTCCTCACCCTCGTCTTCCTCGCCGTCCTCATAGCCATTTCGGCCCAATCACTTGCCTAGGTTAAGGGCCTCCCTGCTGCTGCTGCTGCTGCTGCGGCTCCGTTGGCGCGCGCTGTGGTTGCTGCTCGGTTGGACTGGGTCCTCAGGAAGCTGCGCGAGGGGCGGCTGCGTCGAGTCTGGCTTTCATTCCACTTTGACCGTCTCCTGGTTCACGCGGCGCTTCTGCCAGCTGCTCACCCTTGCACGGTGAACTACGCCCTCATCGATGTGATCACTGCCGTGGTTCGCAGTCTACATGAGAGCATGTCCGTCGACCACGGCCACAAAAAGAGCAAGGGTGAGGCTCGCGTTGCTCTCGCCTTGCGTCGTGCTCTCAGTGCCTCTGGCGCGCAACAGGCGGAGATGATGCTGGCGAGCCTGGTCCTGGTCAAGACGATCCGCGTGCCCGTAGACGTAACAGCAGCAAGAGTGACCCCTCTCGGGGACAACGACGAGACCCGTACTCCGGACATTGGGGTTCAGGCAGGCGATCCCTGGACAACGCCTGGTCGACCGCACAAGGGGCCACGTCAACGACCTCTCGCGGCAGGGATTGCGGCGTGGCCTGCTCTACCGTTGGCACTTCCACACGTGCCGACGTTCCCCTTCAGCTCCGAGGCTCTGGCTTTTATCCCTGATGGTGGAGATGGTGACTGCGACGCGCAGGCTGCTGCGCGTGCGGATATCCTTGCACGTATTCGCGCTGCCCATGATGCCGGACGCGATGCTGTTCACACCAGCTCGTGGTGCACAAGATGCTGTTCACGATGTCCCAGATCGCGCTATACACGATGCCGTAGCCAGCGCTGCACAAGTTCGTGCTGTCCGTGATGCCGGACAAGTTCGTGTTGCACCAGATGTTGTGCACGGTGTTGATATACAAGTTCATGCCGTACAAGATGTTGTGCACGATGCTGTAAAGGTGCTATACCCGATGTTTGTTCGCGGCGTGCCCCTTCGTGCTGTACCTGCTGTGTTTCACGATGCCAATGTACTTGTTCGTGCTGCTCCAGATGCTGCTCGCGATGCTGTACACGGTGCCGTTCACGGTGCTGTACCTGTTCGAGTTTTTCGCTTTGCTGTACCAGGTCGCCACGTTCCTGATGATGCGTGCGATGTGGCACGCGATGCTGTGCCCAGCGCTGTTCGCGGTGTGCCGGGTCGTGCTGTACCAGTTCTTACTTGCCCCGGCACCGGTCGGAAGTCGCGGCGTTTTTTTCGCGGGCAGCTCGCGGCGACCGCTTCGCGTTAGGACGTTCGGATGCGGGCTTCTCGCCGAGATCCGATGGTTATGTTCGCTCGAGCCGGGGGCGGCTCTCACCCTAGACCGAGGAATTGGAGGCATTGGATCATGAGGTATGTGATGGGCTCCTTCCTGCTCATGCTGCACGTCAGGGGCCTCTCTCTCTCTCTCTGGTTTTGACCCTGTTTCGGCGATGGCCCGCTGTAGGCAGCTGCTTCGGGGACTCGAGTTGCGCCGCTCTGTAGCGCTCGCCGTCCTCTTCTCGACGCGCCTTGTGGCGAGGACTCTCCTGGTCTTAGCGTCTACAGGTGGCTGAATGAACGGGGTCTTTCTTGACGGTTTAATGTGGATCGTTGCCTTTTTCGAGGGAATGGTTTCGGTGGTCTTCCCGCGTTTGCGGGAGGCGCGGCCTGGCCGATGGCGCGGGCTGCGTTGTCACGGGTGACGCCGCACACCTCTGCTCACAGAGTGTTGCTCGCTTTTTCCGAGGGAGTGGCTTCGGTGGATTACCTGCGTCTTGCGGGTGGCACAGCCGAGCTGATAGTGCGTGCTGTGCTGTCACAGGTGACGCTACACAGGTCTGGTCCCTGGGAATAGCTTCGGTGGTTTACCCTCGTCTTGAGGGTGGCATGGCCTGGAGGATGGCGCGGGCTGTGCTGTCCCACGTGACGCTGCACACCTGTGGTAGGAGCCGTCTCGGGGCGCCCGTAGTTTTTCTGACGGACAAACTGTCTTCTTGGTTGCCATTGAACGGGTTGCTGGGGTCAATTGTCATCGACTGCCATTCTCCTCAACACTGGCGTCGTGGAAACTCATCATCAGCATCATCGTCATCATCATCACTATTATCCCCCTCTTCCTGCCCGCTCATTCTTGTTCTATCAACCATAATTTTCCTTCGCCTCATCTTTCTCCTCGTCCCTCCTGCCCATCCTCCCATTAAGTTCTTTGTCCCCCTTCTCGGCCGCGTCGTTCTCCTGCTCTCTCGCCGCGCTCGTCGTCCTCATCCTCAATATCCTGTCTCCTTCCTCTTGCTTCTCCACGTTCAGCTACTACTCGTCCTCTTCCTCCTCCTCCTCCTCACCTCCTCCGCCTCCTATTACTTATCATCCTCCCAGTCCTCGTCCTCGTCGTCAGCCTCTTCGTGCCCCTCATACTGTTTCAGCTCCTCCTCCCCCTCCTCCGAATCATCACCATCTCTTTCACCCAGATCATCTCTGGGTGATGCGAGATCCAGCCGTCTGTTGTTCCATATGCTGGTCAACCCGCGACCTGATCTCTTGGCCCAGCGGCGGCCCATTTTTTCAAAGTCCCCCCTTTTCCTGTGACCCTCTTTCGCCTTTGCAGTCCAGGACCCACTTTGGGGCGCTCTGGCTGCAAGAGGCTGTTAAGATGGTTCCAGAGGCCGCAGCAAGCATCCAGGATGCCCCTGACGACGAGCCCAGGATGCTCCAGGACGGCCCCTAGAGACCTCGAGTTGCCTCAAGAGAGGCTTCAAGAAACCCCTCAAGATTCCCCAGACAGGCACACAATGTGTCAAACACCAGCATTTTGTCGAATGTATGTTGGTTGTCCTCTTCCTGCAGATTGCTTTGGAAGCGCTTCAGGTCTGGAAGCCTGCCGAGGTCTCGGCAACAGGTATCTGGAGGCCTCCTGGAGGTCCCCATGGACTCCGGAACCTTTGGGGGCTTTCGGAGGGGAAGATGCGGACATTGGGGGGAGCACATTGATGATGATCCTTTTCATCCGCCTCCTACGGGTAAGGGTTTATGGCAAGCGGACGGTAGTTTATTTGGCGTACCTCAGAATTGTGAATATGTTTTCGTTGTCGTACGTTTATTGGATTCTGACTTGTTGCGATCGCTCATTCTCGTGTATGTCTCTGACGACCGCCTCCTACAAGATGGTGTTGGTACCCTTTACGGTTGTAGCGAGTTTGGTGGTCCTGCTCCGCATCTTTCCCCCCCTTGTACACCCATCTCCCTCCTCCTCCTCCCCCTTCTCCTCTTCCTCCTCGTTTTTCTGAGTTCCTCCTCCCGCTGCGCCGCCGTTGCAGGAGCCCGACGGCGACGAGGACTAGGAGACCACGGTGACGGCGTCGTCGCCGTCGTCGTCGACGTGACGCCCTCTCGAGCCGCGCGATGGGCTGCGGCCAGAGCTGCGCACGGGCCCGCGAACTGGAGGTCAAGGAGCCTCTTCGTCCTCCATTTTTTTCTAGAACAACTCCTCCAGGAGGAGGAGGAGGAGGACGAGGAGGAGGAGGAGGAGGAGGAGGAGGAGGAGGGGAAGGAAGGGGAGGAGGAGGTGGAGAAGGCGAGGAGGAGGGGGAGGAGGAGGAGTTGTCGCGCCCCGATGCGTGTCGGCAGAGCGGGCCAGGCGTTGCGGCTGGCACTCCCTCATCATGTCTGATCGTGCAGCTAAGTATTCGCAGAAGCCTCACGGATGGAGACCGGGTCGGTTTCAGTATGTGAGTCTCGCGTCGGCGCCGCGCACAAGGGAAGGCCATTTTCCAAATGTGGCGCTCGCCTTAGCGCCGCGCGCAGTCGCCTGAAAGTTCACAAGAGCATCACAGATGGAGACCGCATCGTTTTCGGAATGTTGCGCTCGCCCAGCGCCGCGCACATTGGTCTTAACAGTTGGCAGGAGCTTGACGGATGGAGGTCGTTTTCATAATGTGGTTTTCGCCTTGGCGCCGCGCGGGCCGCGCGCATTGGTTTTAAACATTCGCAAAAGTTTCACGGATGGAGGACGGGTTATTTTAAACATGTGCTTATCGCCTCAGCGCCGCGCGCTTTCGTCCTCAACGTTAGCAGGGGCTTCACGGATCGAGGGAGGGTCATTTAAAACATGTTCTTCTCGCCTTAACGCCGCGCACATTGTTTTAAAAACTTGATAGATGGAGGGAGGGTCGTTTTCAAACGGTGGTTCTCGCCTGGACGCCGCGCACATTCGTCTTAATAAGTTGCAAAACGCTCACGGATGGAGGACGGTTAGTTTCACAATGTGTTTCTCGCCTTAGAGAGGCGCACACTCGGCGTACATATTCATCACGCGTTAACGGATTATGATTGTTGACGTCCCAGACACGGTGTTCCGGAACTATTTAGGATAGTCAGGGCGCAAGAGTCACTTTGACCTTGATTTGCGCTGTTGGAGTCTCAGGCAAGGTTTTTGGCACGATTCAGGATCGCCAGGAAGCAATAGTAAAGTTGACTCGCGTCGTTGAAGTCCAAGGAGTGGTGTTGGCACGATTCAGGATCCACAGACGATTGTCTTCCAACGGGGCATTGCCAACAGTGCCAATACATGTAAGAGGCCTACGACAGGGAATTTTGAGGGAGGGTTTATTGCAACATCGTTGATGACCCTTGGGATTACACTGAACCCCCTCCTCCTCCTCCTCGTCCCCCTCCTCCTCCTCCTCCTCTCGAGGATCTGTTGCAGGCGCGGCAGGCTAAGGCTTCACTTGTCTACCACGCTGGATGGTTGCGTCCACCGTGCCTTCGAGGGTGGTGACACCAGCAAACTGGGCCCACTAACGGGTCAAGGCCCACGGGGCCGTATTACTTCAACTCCTTCTCTCAAGGAGGCTGCTCTTAAGGGGGGCCCTCCCCTGCTTCCTCCCCGCGCTCCTCCCATGCTGTGGCTGCAGTCTTGATTTTGTGACATAGGTTTAGCAGAGAGACACCCTAGAGGGGAACAGTGGAGCGGAGAGCGAGAGGATGTGCATCCGTCCTCATTGTGGCTCAAGGTCAAAACACCTGTTTGCTCCTGCTGCTGCCACAGTTGGTAGCGGAGCGAGGCCTCGTCCAGACAGCCATGGGTGGCGGCACGCGGCTCCGGTGAGGGTCGCCAGCTGTCCGCTCGCGAGCTTTGGACCTGGTCGCGCTCGACCAACGTGCGGCGTGGGATCCACGGCAAATGGCCAGAGAACAAGAAGGATAGCATTTCCTGGACGGACAACAGGGGCAACGCGCCGGCGGCCAGGCCGCCGAAGGCGCTGCGGGAGATGCTGCCGCAGCTACGACCGCGGAGGGGGCACAGCCGCAGCACTTGAGTGACGAGCTGAAGGAGCAGATCCTGAAGCTGGTACGGGAAGCAGCGCAGAGCACTGGCAGCTCGAGTGCTTCGGCAGCCGCGGTGAAAGACGACGACGGCCAGGATCCGTGGAGTCGAGCGGCTCCACGAAGTTCACCTAGCGGTAGGGACCAGGCCTGGCAGAAGAACTGGGACGACAAGACCTGGTCCGAACCAAGGTGGCAGCAGAACAACGGAGACGCCGGCGACGGTGCCTGGAACAATTGGCAACAATCATGGTGGCAGAGTCCGCAGTCGATTAGGGGAGACTACTCGGACCCGCCATCATGGCCAGGCTCGGGACACTACCGGGCCTGGAAGAAAGCACTGCGCCGGTAGAATCAGAACACGGACGTGCCTCTGGAGACGGTCGGAGAAGTTTCTGAAATTCTTCGACTGGACCATGCAGGCAAAGTTCGACGACGTGCCGGAGGACCAGCTGACAGGCGCCGCCTGGCTGGACACGGTGCTGGCGCGGATGGACCTGATGAGCGGAGAACGAGAGGGCGATGAATTTCGCCGCGCAGGCCGCCGCGCACTCTACGAGGGCCTTCGCGAGCAGAAGGATTCGCCGACGCAGTTCGTGGCTCGACGAGATCAGCAATGGTTAGAGGCAGAAGCTCACGACATCTGGATGTCGGACAAACTGAAGGGGTTCATGCTCGAGAAAGTTGCGGGCCTCTCGGCTCAGAGCGCACAGGACCTCATAACGCTGACGAAAGGAAGCCTTCAGTACCGAGATGTCGCGTGGGCATTGAGGCAGTTAGATTATAGCAGTGGTGAGAGACTCCTGCCCTCTCGGCCGGGCTCTCACCCAGTCATGGCCGCAGACGCCGGCCATGGCAACGATGAGTTGCATGTTGCCGCTCCTCCCCATCCTCGCCCCCTCTCCGAGTCCTATCCTGCAGGAGGCCAAGGTTCGGAGGCTACTGGCGAGGAAGCCGACGACAACACAGATGACGACCAGCTGGACGACGATGCGGCAGACCTCTCCGAGGCGGATGTTGCGGCCACTTTGGCGGAGATCAACGACCA